GTGATCTTTTGGTATAATTTTTTCTTGTAGAATTTCTGGACTGTAGTTCTTTAGTGATCTCAATTTACGGTATTATGATGTTTAAAATTACCTTTTGATATGCATCGAGAACAGTAAATAATGGAATGGTCGCTAAGTCCATAGCCAGTAGATATTGTGTCGAATTGCATTAGGTTTTCTTTTCTGTTCGTTAAAATCTGGTCAATAGTTGTACTTGTTGCATCCGTAATTCTTGTAGATTCATCTATAATTTGCTGTAGGTCTAAAATGTCCAGGATCTGGACATATGTCTTATACAAAGGATGTGCTGGTTTAAAATCAATACTAAAATCACCAAAAATATTTGTTTCATATTCAGCTCTCGGGGATTGAAGACTGTTCTAAAAAGAATCCAAGAAATCAGATTGATTTGGTGGTCTGTAGTAAATTCCAACTTCTATAGGTTTTGTTTTTGGTAAGAATACATTGATAAATATTGCTTCCAAAATTGTTTTGGTCTGGTAGTCGGGAGAATGCATACTTACTGAGTATATATAGACAAACTCCCCATCCAGTTCTACAACGATCTCTCCAAAGAATGGAGTAACCATCTATGTTTATCTCACTATCCAATACCGATTCATCTATCCATGTTTCTGTGACTCCTATCACTGCTGGTTTAGATTAAGATGCTAAAAGTCGAAGTTAAGATATTTTGCCAATAGCGTCCTGACATTAAAAATGAATAAAATGTATTCCTTTTTCTTTAAAACATTCAAAATGTTTGTCACTCTCATCATTGTTGGTTTTGGTTTCACTATAGGTAGGTCCTGGATTAACTTCTACACCTCCTATGCATAGTAGGATCTTCCAAAACGATTTCTATGTGTGCATAGTCTTGGTTTATTTAATCTATTTGTTTCAAGTCTGAACCATATAAAAATGGTTTTTCGTCAGGATGACTCTTGGATGTTGCACTAAAATCAAACCGTTCATATGATTCATAGACCATCCTATGTCGTACTGTGTCTTTGTCATTTCTGAAAGAAATTAAAAATGACCCATCAACCATTAAAAGAATTCTACAGGTTTTCAAGAGACATCTTTCAAAGAGAGGCTATTCTGACAAAGTAATTAACCCAATAATTGAAGAAACAACACAAAAGGAAAGAGAACTCTTTTTTAAGAGAGAGAGAGGGAGAGAGAGAGAGAGAGAGAGAGAGAGAGAGAGAAAACAAAGCTTAGCCATCCACACGCCATGGTTACAAAATTTAACCCTCTGTCAAAGAATTTTAAAAAAACGTATTCTAAAGTATTGGAATATATTTAAAGCAGACCAAACATGCAAGGACTTACTCAAATCGGTACCTATCATTGCGTATACATGTAATAAGCATAAAAATATAGGAGATCTATTTATAAATTCAAGTTTGCACTTAATATGGAAACTCTAAAATGGGACTCCTGATGAGGCAAATTTTGTTGCCGAAACACAACTAATTCCTTTATAACTGTCATTGTGATCAAAATATTATCTTCTTAATTCAACCAAAGTGGTTTAGAGTGTCGGGTCCTAATAACTCATTATCAAGTCTGGTTGATTGATGTCGTTTATGGAAAACAAATATTTGAAATCAATAATTTTTATAGGATTGTGATACAGAATTACTATTGAAAAAATGATATTATGCTTAGTAAGTTTTTGTCTAATTCTATATACATGTACTTTAAATAAGAATTCAAATATGTTACTTTTTTCAGTTTTTATTGAAAAATAAACGAAAATGGACGAGACACGCAATTGCTTGTACGTATTATATCGAATACGAAGCGGAAAGTCCTTCATACTAAGTACACCTTGATAATTCATTTTCAATTCAAGTTGAGTAAGAGCTTTAATACGTTAAGAGATACTTACTTCGAAAAGCACCTGACTATTCCGTACTGGACATCATTACAAATGCAACGATTGAAAATTACTTTTTGCAGCCAATCAGTTAAAAAAAACCTTTTTCAAAATTCTTTTTTTTTGGGGGGTGGGGGGGGGGGGGTTTGCAGAAAATCGTATGTTTACAGTATTAGATTCTTATATAAAATTATAGCGTTCATGTGTACAAAGCTATGCAGATACTGTAGCATGTTCTGTCGTTAAAGGTTCACCCAGGTCTATGGGAAATAGATTATTCCTACATTCCCATAAGAATTTTATGTAGACAGTCAGTAGCATACATAATATGTAATAATAATAATTTACTGACATTATCTCCTTCTAGTATAGACGCGGAAACAAAATTGTGCTGGACTACATGTATGTAAACCAAACTGTAATTGCTGCCAAAAATACTTCCATGACGGTGCTGATATTTATCTTGAAAATTTATTTTAATACAAGGAAGGATGTGCATTTTACTCATTACTTTAAAAAAAATTATCTGTTCTTCATTGGTTTGCTTGTTTGTTTGTTTTGTTGTTTAACGTCCCTCCTGGAGAATTTTTCACCCATATGAAAACGCCACCATTTGCCGATGGAGAGTTTTTTTCTTCTTTCTTTCTTTGTCTTGCAGGGGCATTTTTTTTCCTTATTTTTCTGAATTAAAGCGAATGAAAGGTTTATGTTGTTAGTGCAAAATTGTTCAAGTTCAGACACTAAATACATGTAATATTGTCAGTTTCATGTATCAATCTCATAAAAACGGAAAAAACAAACAAACATACAAAAAAAAAACTTGAACAGGACCAAAAAAAACACAGAATCCTTGATACATCAGAGGTGGGATTAGATGCTCAGGAGAAGTTAGCATTACCTGTCTAACGATCATGCCCGCCGTGAGCCCTATGAATTGGTTAGAAAGATAGAGTAGATCTTAGTCATTTTTAGGTTTAAAACAGTAATTTAAGAAAGTATATAAAACATAGTCAGAAGAGGCAGTCAGAAAAACTACTGCCAAACGATAGTTTTTACAAAAAAGCAAATCTGGGATTTCAAACATGATGACATCAGTAAAATTTGCTAAATGTTTACTTTTAATGGGGTTGATGTAATACCTTTACAACAACTAATTTGTCTAAAGATTGCCTCGACTTTAAAAAAAATATTTTGAGCAAATGCTTTAACGCGTCGAAATATTTGGGAGACATAACACCATATCATCGATATGTCTTAATGTTGAGTTAAAGGCAAAAGCAGGTATCCAAATGTCTAAATTCTAAACGTCTAATTTTTTTTTGTCCTGTTCAAGTTTCTTTTGTATGTTTGTTTTTTCTGTTTTCTCTGAACTGAAAGAGAAACAAAACTGTGGAAGTAAAAATATGAGTCTTCAAAAAGAAGTAAATACCATGTTAGAAAAAAATTGAAAAAAAGTAACCTGCCATAAATTGGCGCATTTATTATGCGTAAGGTAATGAATGTCAATAAACGAGAAATATATAGTAATGGTGACGTACTTTATTCTAAAAATAACTTTTCATTTAGGGGAATAAAAAGAAGGAAATGTATTGAAGTAGCTCAATTTCAAACTAAATTGCTTCAGTAACGCTTGCTAGTATTCTTAATTGCATGTTCCTTTCAATAACACATCGCGAATCTCCTTAGAAAATGACCATTGTGAATCAAAAGTTCCATAAAGCGTAGAAAATAACTGAATATTTTTTGCCTTCGCACGTCATTCTGAAAAGTTTTTTTTTTTTTTTTTTTTTTTTTTTTTTTGTAAACAAAATCTATTTCACTTCATGCATACAAGTTTTTCTTTATTAAACGACATGAAAAGTGGAACTGCATTGATTTATTTCCTCGGTGAAATTTTATTGACTGGGAAAGTAGCAGAGGCGTATGGTAAGATTATTTTTTTACGGTTTTTTTTTTCAGTGCAAGATTTTCATTTTTTGTCTCTTCTCTTTAATATTTGAAGCCAATGAAGTACTTGGTGAAAGTGATTCTACACATATAAATCCGTTAAACAGTTGTATATATATATATATATATATATATATATATATATATATATATATATATATATATATATATATATATATATATATATATATATACTTCTGTCACTGAAAGCTTCGATTATACTGCAAATGGAATATACTTTTAAGGAAATCTGAAAAAATGAAATTATCTCCTTTAGATCTTTTTAAAACCGTACGTCATGCTAGTAATAATGTCCTTTTAATCACTTGTAAGAAATAAAACTGCTACTCTTCAACTCATAAATTTAAGTAAAGAATTTATCAAGGGAAAAGGGGATTTTTGCTAGAAAATACTACCTTTTACTTATTTTCTGGTTAAATTAATTTTTAAGCAAAGTTTACTGAAAGAGAAAAAGAAAATCATCTGCTGTTAAGTATATATTACCTCAGTCATTAGCTTTTTCGATTAATTCTTTGTATAGGTTTTCCTTTCTTAAACATTCACCTTTTTGTCAATAGTAACCATGATAGTAATATCTAGGAAATAAAATGGAAATATGATATTATATCTCCGTTGTAGGCCTTCATTTAAAGTGGTTAATACATGTACTTACGTAGAAGTATTTAATGAGGAAAAAGGATACCATAAGGAGATAAACAAAAAAAAAAGGAATTAAAAAAAACACACCCATAAAATAATGAATATATGTGTCTGGATTTGAATAAGGGCGATAGCCAAGACCTTAGGACTTTGTTTCTGTGTTCAATATTCAGTATCAAACAAACATTTAACCTAGGTATTCTTAACATATTTATATTGCAAATTTATATTCAAAGTGTATATTCTAACAAAATAAACAGTAACTGTTATTATAAGATGCAGTATGAAAATTAACATGAATATGCAATAAACACACATGTCTATTATTTTTTCTGAAATATAAATAGTGTAATTCAGGAAAAAATATGTTTGACAGTTACAGGAAAGAATTCTCACTTTTTTAAAAATAATAACTTTCCTAGAATCTTTTCCCTGAAGAATTTAGCAGTAACTAACAAGTTTGTTTCCTTTTCCTTTTTCCCTTTTTTTTAAAGAAAATCTTGCTTTAATGAAATCAACATGGCAGCAGCACTGGTATGAATACGACTATTCTTGGAATCCAAAAGGACCACATAAAGCCGTGGATGGGCTGTTTTCAGACAGGTCTCCTTATACAGGACAATGTACAGTATCTGGCCATTATAAAAGAACTGCAACTTGGGGGGTGGATCTTGAAAAAGTACTCAATATACATCATATAACTATCTACTACAGGACAGACAATCTTCCATGGGGTACCGTATTACCAACTATTTTACAATGTATTTTAATGTTACAATATAGAAAAAAAAATAAAAATCTCATTAACATAGTCAATGAACAGATAATTATTGTTTGTAAATATGTTATATTTCAAAATATTGATGCATTTTATAGATTTCTTTTTTCTTTGATGGCCTACCTTAGTATTCCGTCATCTGTATTATGATATTAAAATCCGAATTATCGAAGATTTTAAGAACCAATATAAACTGAATATGCAAGATATGAGTAAGAGTATGAACTGGTGAACGTCATCTCCAGTGAGATCTTGAATACAGATGTAAAAATCTTTGCTAAATGTTTGTCCAAAGACCTAAATTTTTTTACTGTTTGAATTAACACGTCGAAAGGATGAAAATTAATATTATCAGTAGGCAAACAAAAAAAAAAAAAAAAAAAAAAAAGGGAAAAAAGAACTGGGATATATTTCCAATTATTTTGAGATGGAACAAATCTGGAATTGATTTTTATTTATTTATTTATTTATTTATTTATTTATTTATCTATTTATTTATTTATCTATTTATTCTTAATTTATTTAGTTATTTATTTATTGAGTCGGCCTGTTTAATATCGAGCTTCCACTACGGATATTCTTGCATAAATAACGAGCAACTTTTGAAATTTAAAGTCACCGTTGATGAATATACACTCTTGAAATATTGAAGCTAGTGTTTTGATGAAAATATTCCTTTTTGTAATGTTTAAGTGCATGTGACATTAACATTAAGTAATACTCCTATTATGAAGTCATCATAAGTATGACATCATGGTAATGTCACAATGCAATTCTATGTTTGAATAGGCAGTCTAGATAAACAAGTCAAAGTGTTAAGACGTGTTTTCACTCCATCTGACTCAAGGTAACTAATTACCCAAATGACCCTACCAAGCGTTATAATTTCAATTTCGTTTGGAAATAGAAACATCTTTTCTGGCTGCCACTACCCATGATAAATATTGCCGTTGAGCTGTTGACCAGACAACATTTTTTTTTTATTTATTTACAACGGGAACGATTGATAATGAACGCTCGCATTTGGAATATTTTAGAACATGCTTGAAATCGTAATGCAAACTCAGCCTTGAATAAAAAGCCAAGACTTTGAACGCTAAAATTATCCTTATTTTAAGTAGCTTTTATTTTTAATTATTTACCTATAAAATTAAGTAGGCCTATTTTCTTATGATTTCATTACTTCCAAAAGAGGTTAGCAGAGTAAATTCTGGTAATGATAAACATTTTGGGAGTATGTTGTTTATTTTCGTACATTTTACTATATGATTTGTAACCAATAAATGAACATTAAATATACGTTTTCGATATTTTCATCACAGTTTGTGAAAGCATGTTCCTGTAAGTTTTTTTATTTCACATTTTCAAATAAAGTTACAAAATTTTGTTAGGGGATGTCTTTTCGTCAAAATATAAAGTATTGTTATTAACTTTTTTGGCTCTGTAAAACCAAATAGAAAACATCAGTAAAAATATATATAAAATATTTTTGAAGTTTATTATATTCTTTTAGACTCTACCAATGGATTTACAGCCCGATTTCTTGGATTCTCGCTTTTTATATCAAACACAACCAATAAAAATGACGGCTATCTATGTTTTAAAGACACAAACTACACTAGAGGCACGATACCGAATAATATAACAATAGAATGCATAAGGCATGGACGATACGTCATCTTTTACAATGAAAGACTTGCAGGAGTTACATACCCTGAAGGATATTCTCCATACGCATACAATGATCTCTGTGAAGTCGAGGTTTACGGTAAGGAATTACGATATATACTTTATGCATTATAGGAATTACAATTTATCCCATGTTTACCCCTTTATTTCGTGGATATGACTCATTGGATATTTTTTCATATCCCACAGTTAAGTGCAGTTGTGAGGTAATAATGCTTTTTGAGTTAGCGTTATGAAGTAAAATAAAGTGGAGTCCTATATAAAACAGTGTAAAACATTGGTTGTGAAGTATTAAACATGGGATTAAAAGAATCTCCCAAGATTTGAAGTTGGATATGACTTTTATCCAACTCGTTGTGTGTTTTTATCCCCTCGCCAAGGCTCGGGGATAAAAAAAACACACAACTCGTTGGATAAAAATCATATTCAACTACAAATCATGGGAGATCCTATATATATATATACTTTTTGTTGTATAAGGAATTAAAATATATACTTCAGGTTTATGATGCATATACTTAAATATAGGTAAAAATTCCTT